GTTCGATATCGCCCCGAATTAGTACATGATCGAAGGCGTTCGATGGAAGTTGTTAGCGACTTACGGTGCAGAATGATGAGGAGTTCGGGCTCCTACTTGTTCCTATTTGTTATGATGGTCCACAGTTCATTAGGTCGTAGTTATACTAAGCCCATACATCGGTTATCGGATAATCATCGGAAAACGCAACTCCCGCAGATTGTAGCGAGACACACGTAACACATGTAATCGATGATGATGTCACATCAACAGTGCTGATTCAGCACAGCAGTCCAGTATATCGCAGGGCGCGCGGACAAGCGTTGTACCGCTCGAAGTTCCACGCGTTTGGTGCGACCGGTGGAGTGTCAGGAGATACCAGGGGTAGCATATCGCTCGGATTCCACAGGTCTATTCACCCATATTCACATGACACACTATCCAGCGAACGTTGCACTTGATATCGATCAAAAGAGAGCTCTCGAGTACATTGAGGACAGTATCAGGAACCCCGCAGGCAATCGCAGCTTCTTCATAACCGGGCATCCGGGAACGGGAAAGACGTTGGCCACGAAGAAGTTAGTCGACAACCTCACCCGCGACCATGACACCGTATCTCTCACGTGGAACGCATTGAGTGCACGTGCTCTTAATGGTGATACGGTGATGGCATTTTTTGGACTTGGTTATGATACTTCTGGAATAGTCGGGGACAATGCCTATATGCGATGTAGGAGAAGCCTGACGAAAAGAATGACCAGTAGCATTCCAACTGAGAACAGGAGGCTGCTCTTACAAGAAAAGGTGGTTATCGTCCTCGACGAGATCAGCTGCCTCCACGATACTGTCTTTGAAAGCATGTCCGATGCGATCACTCAGATTCGGACGGGAAAGGTAGACTCGTCATTTCTATTCGGAAATCTACCAGTAATTATGGCTGGTGATGTATGCCAATTGGGGATGGTAGAGTTGTGCGACAAATCCGCCGAATACCCAGCTTGGGCCTACCCCACGCAGGCTTGCTGGAAATCGAGAACCTGGACGAGAATGAATCCTCAAATAATCTACTTCACCCGATTTCATCGAGGCTCAGATGACAGCTATTCAACTCTACTCTCGGAGATCCGACAAAAGCAGCAGCATAAGCCAGGAGTACCACGCTTCAGCGAGGGCTCCTTACGAACATTGGAAGCGATACGAGACAGGGACGGCGGGGAGCGAGCACCACCGTAAGTCACAAGGGGGCCTGAAGGAAGCTTGAATTAAGCTAGGTATAATAAATGATGAAATGTTTCATGTGAAGAATATATATTCATTCACATATATAGAATAGATATATTCTACATATATATATTCTTCCTAATATATAAATACAGGATGTACCGGGAAAAATACGACATTTCGTTCTCCAT